CCACACCACCACCACCCCCCCATCCCCCCGCCCTACCCCAAGCATGGTGTGGCATCATTTTTAAGCTTCTGGTTTGTGGGAAAACATTTGGTTGTTTCCACTGCCTAATAATGACAAAATACTTTTCTCTAAAAGTCACTTCTGCAATGTGTGGTGTGAAGATGTGAAGATCATCACTTCTGCAAAGGATCTGTTTTTCTGTTCTCGTCTTTATTTTTCTCACGCCTTAAGTCCAAAAACAGGTCTCTGAGAAATTAATACATTTCTATCACCCTGGAAACTTCCACTGAAAAAATAAAGAATTTTACACATTTAATTTCGTCAGTCCATAGTTTGAACTGTTTAAAATCATTTTTAATGTTTCACACTTTAGTTCGCTGAAGGCAAAGATGTTTATGGCACCGGTGAGTCTGAGAGTCAGATCAGCCTGAGAACAGAGTTCGAGTCCAGCGACAAAAAGGAGAATGGCCTCGGTGAGAGAGCTATGTCATAAATATATTCCTGGATGTATGCCAGTTCAATTCAAACTAACATCTCTGGATCATCTCTCCTCTCCGTTGTGCACAGATCCAGAATCGAACCCTCCTTTATTCCTGGAGGATCTCATCTCCTTCAGCTTCCAGGTGGCGCGGGGAATGGAGTATCTGGCCTCTCGCAAGGTTCGCTGCCTCTCTCCCCTGTGTGTGAATCCTCACGTGTGTTCATGTATTTTATATTTGTGTCGTACATCAGTGTATCCACAGAGACCTGGCAGCCAGGAATGTTCTGCTGTCTGACAACAAAGTGGTGAAGATCTGTGACTTCGGCCTGGCCAGAGACATCTACAAAGACCCCGACTACGTCCGCAAGGGAGACGTGAGTGCCTTTGTTAATGTTTCAGACGAATTGACACACCCTGACTTTAGCTGCGCATAATGGAAAAATATTTTCATTTAATTAAATACATATATATGAAATTTTGTAAACTAACTGCGTTCATAGGATCCATTGACAAAACTAGCATTTTAACATATAGAACATGTAAAATACATTGATTAGTTTCGAGTCCTATTAAGTAACAGTTAGGAAGTTAAGCCAAAACAAACCTGTTCATGTTGCCTTGCACTTGTAACAATATTTTTAACATATTAATCTAAACATTTAGAAACTGTTGGATATCGTAGTCTGTGTTGAACAAGGGAATAAAACGTTGTGTGATTGGCTGCACAGGCCCGCCTCCCCCTGAAGTGGATGTCTCCAGAGTCCATCTTTGACAAAGTGTTTACCACGCAGAGTGACGTCTGGTCTTATGGCATTCTGCTGTGGGAGATTTTCTCCTTGGGTGAGAGACATCGCACTTTTGTTCTCAAACAAAGTATGAGGGGCGAAGAAATGAAAAGAAAAAATATGTTTTCATGAAATCTGCTTCTCATCAGACAGTAGAAAGTTCCATTTTATTCTGTTCTTCAGAATTGTTGGTGGGGTCTGTCTTCCTCAGTTGTCGTGCTGATGTGTGTGTTTGTCTGACAGGAGCTTCTCCGTACCCTGGTCTTCACATCGATGAAGAGTTCTGCCACAGACTGAAGGAAGGAACCAGGATGAGAGCTCCAGAGCACAGCACACCTGAGATGTGAGTTAAAAAAACACAGATGAGAAATGATGTGAGAAAGTCATGTTATAGATCAGTGTTTCTATCTGGTCGACATGTTTTCTATGCTTTGGCTAAAATGTATCAATTTTGTAGCTGACTGTTACAATACACTAGACATATTGTATTATTTTAAGGCCAAAATTAATTTCCATTATCGGCTAATAGTTAGCTATCGAGCTATTTCCAAACCTGACTTCAACATTAGCTAATTTTGGGATAACATCTGAATGTCTCTGTCAGTCTTATTATTATATTATAGTTTATTTTATTTTATTTTATTTACATTTTTAGCTGACTTGAAACTAAATGTTTCTTATTCTATTTTATTTAGATAAATCACTGTCACAGTTTGCAATAATGATATTTTTACCATATATTTCTGTTAGTCCAGTTCCTTATAGAAGTCACAGGTCAACACCTCTGTGTCACTGTGTGCAGGTACAGCACCATGCTGGCCTGTTGGGAGTCCAGCCCCTCAGACCGACCCACCTTCACTGACCTGGTGGAGACTCTGGGAGACTTGCTCCAG